AGGTTAATATACTGTGGGCAGCGCACCAGGTACATCATAGTTCTGAAGATTACAACTTGTTCACAGCCCTGAGACAATCCTTTCTACAAAGATACACCTCCTGGGTAAGTTGCACAGGATTTGACAAACGATATCACCATGATTTAGTAGAAGTGAAAATACAATGTTTATTTCCTTTTGAAGAAGATTAATTATTTAAGATATTTGGCTCTGAAAAGCAGAGGAGATGAAACGGAAGAATCTGAAAGTCATAAGCTTTAAAAGTAATTCATCAATGCTTTTAGAGCAAACCTGAAAAGAGATACAATAGTTAAGAAGACTAGTTCTTTTTAATATATTCATAATTTCCCAAGTAAAGAGGATAGTTCTTTGTTTAGTTATTCATGCATAAGTACAGGAAAAGTTCAGAGTATAATATAACCACTCTAAAATTTCTCTGTAGCTGAATGGAGCAGAGAAAGAAACAAGTAAAGATTACTTTGGACACATGCAAACAGATTTATTTGTCTCCACTAGTGACATGTGTCAGCACTCAAAGTCAAAGAAGTATGCCACCACTTTTACCTAGTTTTGTTTCAGATAAAATTTAAATAGTGAGTTATATACACATCAAAATAGAAAATAAGACAGTTACTCACAGATTTATAAACATATATTTTCAGATACATTCATAAATTCGTTGAAAATACTATCCCATTTTTAGTTTTGGGCTCAGAGTAATTGCCACTTTTCATCAGTTGCTTTCTTATATTCTCTTTTGAATGCTTTTTTTTTTAACTTAGATTTTTTGTTTCTTTCTTTTTTTAAGATTATAATTTGACAATTTGAACTATCTGCATTAGATATTAAAGTAACATTAAATATATATTATAAAGTATATAAAATGTATAAAAGTTGTGCTCCAGTGAGTTGTAATACAGGTGGGTGGAAGAAACTCACAGACCTCTGGCAATTTCTGTGATTAGCCTATGAGCAACTGGATTTATCTCACATAACTGAACGTGGGTTTAGCCTGTTCATAATTTTTTCAAGAGCATAATATGAGGTTAGTAGGTTAAAAAAAAAAAAAAAAAAAAAAGAGGTTCTTTAGGAACCTGAGAAAGGGAAACTATTTTTGAGTTTTGTCTTAAACTCTTTTCTATAATTTCATGTTAACTTTATTCATAAAATAGTCATCTGATGTTAGCAGCAATGCCTCAACTTTAAATGGCCATAATGAACAATAGTGGAAATATCTCTGTCACTGCTCTGCTTCCTATATAAATATGGCCATGTTAAAGATTTAACCTTTGAACATATACCCATTGGGACCATATGTTCAAATGCTTAACAAAAACAATAATTCAAAAGAGACAAAAAGCCTGTGTGTGTACAGATGGGTGTGTGTATGAGCACTTTGCTTGCTTGATTCTGAGGATGATGCCTTTGAGAGCACAAAATATTCAGGGAGGCTAAGATGTCTGGTTTTCTTAGGTTCTGGAGACCATCCTCAGGACCACACTGGTATCATTTGGCAAATAACATGCTCATTTAACATTGATTTGCTTTGAGAAAAGGGAAAACAGTGTAGAAATCCACTTCTACCAAATATTTGATATTAACCAAAGCATTTTGTTGATGTAAATACGAGGATTTTCCTCTCTCCAGAATTTTTGGGAAGTGTCTGGTTTTCTTTCTCCAAAGCCTTAATGTGCATGAACACAATTCCTGCTAATTCTTGCATTTGTGTTATTTTTGGACTGCCAGACTTTCCCAGAACCTCATGGATGAATCTGCTTGGAAGCTGAAACTCAGTGAAATCTTTAGTTAATCTTTGAGAATAGTCTGATGTCACTGAAACTGTACTGCTGAATGCAGTTTCCATCCAGTTCTGTGGGTGCTGTGAGAAAGTCACGGTGGCTGTTGTGGGATTGTGAGACTTTTCTGTTGCCAGATCTGTATGTGTTTTAAGTTAAGCATTGTAAGATAAATAAATCAGCATAACAATCTGTGTGGGTTGTGCTTGGGCTGATTGAAAAGATGTGAAATGAAAGAGAAGAGAAAAACATGTTTTAAGTACAATCACTGGCATGAGCTGTACTGACCTTGAAATTGAATGTCTGTCACTTCAAATCACTTGCACACAAAGCATTTCCATTTGTCCAGTGGAGAGGCTGTGGAGAAGCAGACCTACTGTTAGACTGTGAAGTGGTTTTGAAGCCTATTTGGAGTGAAAAGATGGAAAGAGTGTGCATTAATTTTTAAGAAGACATCAGCAAGCTGATGTTGTATACAGTTTTTTGCAACTCATGAAATGCTTAGTTAAAGTGCAGTTGTGAAAGGAGGATGCATGAAAAGATGTGGCTTAGTTCCTTGAGTACCAGTACTTAACTGTCATCCAAGGGTAAGACTTTAGTTTGAAATTTATATAAAGCTATCTAATCAACTTAGATCTAATGGTTTGAATTACACCTGATGCTTTAAAAGTAGTGGAAATGCCTGTATATAATTTTAGACAGGAAACAGGTAACTCTTTGTTCTGGCACAGAATCTTTATTTCCCAATGAATCCTCACAAAAGTACATCTCATGTGAACTAGCTAGCTAGCTGGGAGTAATTTTCTTGCAGAGCATCAGAGCATTGCTGTGCACCATAGTCCCTTTGCTTTTTGCTGAGAAGATTAGCAGCTAACCCCAGCGACAGGGCCAGAGAGAGATGGACTCAGTGCTGGTCCTGTTCAGGAAACTCTGCCCTTCTGCTAAACTTCATAATATTCACATCTTTCCATTTCTTTGTGGAAGCATTTATAAGCTTTTACTTAGTAGAGACAGAAAGATAGAGAATGCCCAATTCAGAGAGCATTCAGCAATGTGGTGGACATACACTGTTCCAGAAAAGCCAGTTCCTTAGTTGTTGACACACAGCTGCGATGCATGAATTCCTCTCTGCTTCCTCAATGAGTGCATTTCCCAGGTTATCACTCACTGTGGCTCTCTCTCAATTTCTGTTGCTGAATTCACACGTGGGAAAAGATTTGAGTGTGACATTTTTCTGCAGTTTTGACCAGAAATTCCATCTCTGAGCCAGGAAAGCTTTTCTTCTGCAAATTAGTGAAAGCTAGTAAGTTCCCAGGAAATGTTTTGATTTGGTAAATTGGTGTTTCCAGTCAAAAATTTCTTTTCTTTCTGATGTTGATCTTGTTGCAGTACAACCACAAATGGGAGACTTTTTTTTATATAAGAGGATTTTAACTCTTTGTATGGCTTCAGCTTTCAGAAATGATTTTTCAAATCCTGTCTCTATAAAATAAAGCTTGCATTGAAAGAAACATGAGGCAGCTAGAAAAGCATTCTCAATTTTACGTATTTATATGATATTTTCTTCATCTTGCTATTTAGTAGGAAAATCCCAGTAGTCATTCTGAGAAGTAGGTTACAAAATAAACGTGAAGATGATCCTTCCTTCCCCTCTGAGTTACCTGTAAATACCACCAAATTGCATTCTGCAACTTTTAGGGGAAAAGCATATTATCTTTAACTCTGCTTTAAATCCTGCAATCACTTCCATGAATAATCTGAAAACCATCTGTTTTTTTCTTTTTTTCAATTATTCACCTAACTTCCTCTCTGTTCTTTTTTTTTTTTTTTTTTTTTTTTTAAATTTCCTGCTCTTATCATGCCATTAGACAGGTATAATCAATAATAAGAGAAAATTGCAGTAACTTTACTGGCCATGTGTCCTAGTCCTTCCTTGACTTCACTGTAAGATTTTGAGAAAAAACATGCCAGCCTTCTGGCTGTCATGAGACAAATATCTCCCAGTCTCTTTTCCTGGAGCTTACTGCACTTTTAGTAATTGAATACCAAGGGTGTCCAGGTTGCTGGTAGTCTGATCTGCTCTAAATATTTAACTCTAAAAAATGTCTCATAACCATCTCAAAATTTCATACTTAAATGCTGCACCTCCATGATGACATTTACTAGCTCCCACCTTCAGTAAGAGTAGCTGTGAATTTGTGTGAATTTACTGAGATTGCATGATTATTAGGAATTAAATGTGTGAAATTCAACTTCTCAATATATTTTTCTCTTTTTTGGTTTCAGAAATGTTGCACAAACACTTTGGTCTTCAAGTACTGATTAAAGCTAGATAATTGATGTTCTGTAAGTTCCACAAGCTCAGTGCAGTCCTTCTATCTTTGGATTCTTTTACATCTTGAAAAATAACTTCCATGGCATTTAAACAGGAAAAATGTATGTATAGTTTGTAGGGCAGCTGTGATCCATGTAGTCTTTGAATGTAGTTTTTGAAATCACAGCTGTCACAGCCCTAGAAGGTAATGCTGAAGCTCCTGTGATTTTGTGGTTTCTTTCCAGTGTTGAAGACTGCAGACCAAGCTGGAGTTATCCATTGGCTTCTAACGTCGGCAAATCACTGTGGTGACTTTTGTGTCAGTCACATCACTGGGTTGGAAGTGCATTTGTTTCACACCCCCAGCTTGATGTCTTACCTACTGGATAGACCTCTTGACAAAAACAGGAGGAATATCATCGTTAAATACCATGCATTGTTTTTCCGCAGACCTATGCTTAAGCAATTTGCTGCTCAGGAGGCCTATCTGGGCTATCAAATTTCTTCTCTGATATTTAAAGACTTTATTTTGTATGAAGTAGAAAAGGAATTTGAATCTGTTTAGGGAAGAATTAACTCGTTAATTCAGCTGATGTCATGCAAAGTCAGGTAAAAGGAGGAAGAAAAAAAGGTAATTTTTACATGTCAGTGCATGGAAGTCTTACCCTATTGCTCAGCCAGCAGAGTGGTTGATTGATTGTACTGAGACTTTTCTCTGTTTACAAGAAATAATCTTTTTTCTAAGGAGATAGTTTGCTGAAACTACTTCTGTGCTAGCCCATTTTTGTAATCCAGCAGTATGTCCTGGTTTCAAGGGATGTGCTGTGAGCAAGTTAGGGCAAAAATTTGTAATCAGTTTTGAAAGTGGAGTAAACTCTGCCTTACCCTTTTGGTGCTCGCATAGGGGATGTCTACAGTGCTATAAATTCACACCTTGCTTACTCTGTGATAATTCTCCCCTAAAATTAAAGCCTTCCTGTCGAGGATATGTTGCTGTCTACTCCATGCATTTCAGAGAATAAATGTATCATCTCAGGATTTCTGAATTCTTTACTTGATTTTACTGCTTGCTCACTTTATTACTTTTGACAAATGACTTTCACAGCAATTTATATCTCACTCGTTATTCCTTGTCTAGTAGCAATTTAATAATCAGTATCTATTCTATCTAACGTCTACATTACAGAGGCATGTTAAGATGGAATTATCTTGTGCAATGCTTTGAGCTCCTGAGATAGTACTTCATTATATCATCACAATTTTAGATTGATAAGTGTATTATTTTTTTTCATTTTCCAGATGTTCAACTTACCCATGGCTCTTTTCATTCCACCATCAGTGTTTGCTGTTCATCTGCAATTTAATCTACTTTACCAGTTTTGGATACATACAGAGGTAAAGCCCTTTTTTTTAAGACATGCCTAAACAGTTAGCCTGGAGCAGTGTCCTGGAAATCCACTAGCAGCTGATTTATTGTGTAAGAAAAATCTTTGTCTGACTTCTTTAAGGAGAAACATCTGTTCATTTTTATTCCTTTTTCTGAATATATATTGCTAAGTTTATAAGAAGCAATGAGGCCAGTTGGTCCCAATTAGATTAAAAAAAAAAAAAAGAAAAAAGAAAAGGAACTGGAGGGAATAAAAAATTTTTTGAATTTTAATACTATATTTTCCTATTTTGCAGCTTATTAAAACATTTCTGGCAGATAACTACATCTGATTTCATTTGTAAGATAAATATTATAGAGAAAAATGTATTAAAAAAAATAGTGCTTTGGGTTTGGAGTTGCAGTTGAAATCAGATATTATTTCCATCTTATGTATGTAGTTCTCAGATGAAAAGATTTTGTTTCCTCTTAGCTATTTGTTTATGACTGTACTATTTATTTATTTTGTGAGTGCATTTGCAAAATCTATTTTACGTACACGTAAAATTAATAACCCATGGCAATTATTAAGTAGTTTCCCACATTTCTCAAGTCGTTGAACAGCCTTCTGCCTTCTCCCGTATGCTACTTTTGCATGTTATGTCAGTAGCATGAATGTCAGTAGCCTCTACTAGGCTGCCAGCTAATTACCTCTGCTCTACTTTCACTCCTTTGATTACTCTGATGATTTAAATGCCTTTTTTCCTCCATTATGCCATCTATAGGACAGTTCACTTGCAGAACAATTTTATTCTATTTGCTCTTCTAGGTGATCATGTTGGTTAAACTCCTGTTTTTATTTTATCTTTTCTGTGTGCTTGCCTAACTATATATATATATATATAAACACCACAACCATCAAAAAGAAGCTATTTACAGTAGCACAATAGCAAACTTTTGTTACTGTCAGTTCAGTTCTTCTGGACAAATTTCTAAAAAAATTAATACATGTCTCAAGTTCTGCAACATCAAGTGAATTCCAAAAATTTGCAATAAATGTAACAAACTTCACCAGAACTGTAATAAACTCAAGTTAATGTTGTCAAAATGTTTTGAGCAAATACGATCCAACAGTTTGAAATTATAGCAAATAAATACTCTGAGTTGCACATTAGCAGTTTCTTTGACCATGCCTTGGGATCTCCGAATTGGTTTTTAGGTGTTTTATTCCTAAAAAAAAAAAAAAAAAAATTATGTGCCTTATTTAGCTGTTCTTTTCTGTCTGAAGCTATTTGTTCCTTGGCTCAGAGACGTCTCTGGTGTTTAGCAGTAAGTCGATGAATGAGTCCGAGCACTGGTGCTACAGTGTACATCTAAAGTGAATTTCAGAAGCTTGTGAGTCACCCACATCTCTCTAAAGTCCTAAATCCTTCATAGGACTTTAAAGTAATTTTTATATCGTATGAGCCAAGTTTAGACAGTAGTGTAAACAGGAATGAATTTCAATCTCAATGAAAAGATAAGCACTTCTTACTGCTAAATTAGTGCGTCAGTAGGAAAGCAGAGGATCTTTTATACAGATCCAGTTAGTCCAATCATAGATCTTTGTTTATTAAAGAGACATATTTGTAGCGTTGATATTATTGAAATTGTAATGCAAGTAAAATCAGTTGAAATACGTTGAAGCCATGCTTTAAGGTAAAAAATAATGTCAAAATAGAAATAGAGTTACGCCCTATTCTTCTGTTGAGAGTAAGGATCTAGTAGACAAGGGAATATAAAGAAGGGGAAATAGCAACAGCTACTGTAGACATGGAGGTTTAAAATAGCCAGTATTTTTGAAGAAGTTAAACTGATTTTTAACTACTATACTCAATTTTGTTCATTTTGTGCCAACTGTTACAATTTAACTTTTTAGAGATTTTCCCTCTGGTTTTTTTTTTTTTTTTTTAAATTATTTTCCCGACTTTGTTTAACAGTGTTAAATAATGTAAATATAGGAAAGTTTGCATCTAAGGGAAGGAATTTTATTTAAGTCTAGATTTTGGAGAGTTTTTGTTGCTTAAAGAAATAGTTCAAATTGAATTTAATAATTAAAAAGCAGTCATTCTACTGTGCTGAAACTTTGCATGCTGTGTTTCAGCTTAGAGCAAAAGTTTATAGCCCAAGTATAATCCCTGATATTTTCCCAAATTTTGCTTAAAATACATTCAGTACCGTTAAAAAAAAATAGAGAAGTTTCCTGTGTTATCACTTTGGCATTCTTCAAGATTTGTTGTGTCAGTTTTTGTTTTGCTTTCCTACCGGCAGATTAGGGACAAACTGTTTTATTTTAACTCAAGTAGCTCATAAATTCCTGCAAAGACAATCATAAAGATTATCATGTACCCACTCTTTCTGTCTAAGTGTTCTCAATTGCCTGTATTCTTGGTATTAGCTAACTTGTGTCCCTTTATTTTAAATAAGTTCTCAATTTTACACATTGTAAATTTTATACAAGAACTACCCTATACCATTTTTTAGTAATAATAAAAGACCCTTAGCACTGAAATCAGAAGGGGCTGGACATGAGCCAGCAGTGTGTCCTTACAGCCCAAAAAGCCAACAGTATCCTGGGCTGCGTCAAAAGAAGTGTGGCCAGCAGGGCAAGGGAGGTGATCTGCTCTATGCTGGTGAGACCTCACCTGGAGTACTGCAACCAGGTGTGTTGTACAGTACAAGACAGATATTGACCTGTTGAAACAAGTCCAGAGGAGGGTCATAAAGTGATCAGGGTCATAAAGTGATCCAAGTAATGGAACACCTCCCCTCCAATGACAAGCTGAGAGAGCTGGGGCTGTTCAGCCTGGAGAAGAGAAGGCTCTGGGGAGACCTGACTGCAGCCTGTCAGTATCTAAAGGGAAGGGGAACAACCTGATCTAGCTGTAGATGTCCCTGCTCATTGCAAGGAATTAGAACTAGACCTCTAAAGGTCCCTTCCAACTCAAACAATTTGATAATTCTAGATACAAGTAAGGCATTTCTGTAGTAATTAAGGAAGTAAAGGTTTTCCAAGAGTGAAAACACAACTGTGTCATTTAGATAAATTATGCATTTTTCTTTGGTATATTCAGCAGTTGGAACAATTCCTGCTGTCTGAAGTTCACCTTTTTTCAGTACTTCTGTATGTTACCACACTGTCTACATCGCAATCTGAAATAAGACAAATTTTCCAAAGACTTTTTTAAAATCTCAGAATAACACCTAATGGTATTGAAATAATTGTATTCATTGCTTATTTAGGTGACAGAAAATATAAGTGAATCTGTAATGGTGCATAAAATCAGTATCCCAGTAGTTCAAGGGAAAACAGTTTTTGGTTCAGTCCAGTCCAATTTAGGCTAATAGAATGAGTTTTCAGTCAGTAGATGTGGCCTTAAATGGGCAGGGAGAAATGTTTCTATGAGGAGACCATAAGGGAAGTTCAAAAATAAATAACTAAAATAATATTTTGGTTAAAGAGCACTAAAAATCTAATTTTTCAAAAGCCACAAAATGTTTCAGGACTGTTACTGACAGACAGAAATATTCAATTTCAGTTTATTTTCACAGGTGATTTCGAAGTTCTATGGCTTCTACTAAACTATATCCTTCCATTATGCATTTATAACAACCAATAAGTTAGGTGCATTTATAACCTGATAAACACCTGTGAAAAAACAGAAATTAGTTTCTGTAGATTTAGCTGTAATTTTTATGAGATGTCAGATTGTATTTGGAAAATATCAACTGAATCAATCCCTTTTGGTAGTAATTGTGGAGGCAGATTATTGCTTGCCTGTTTGATCTTTGACATGCATTAGTTTCTGTTTAATTTTCTAATTTGGGGAAAGACCATAATCAATGCCTTTTACCATACTCACAGATGTTAGATTTCTTAAAGCACCTCTTATTGCCTTGTTTAAGTCTTCCTGCATCATCAAAGCAGATAAAAGTGATGCACTCCAATTAACAAGGAATAACATAGCTGAAAACAGCAGGGAAGGACTGGGAAACAATTTAGCAGCACAGGCTGGCAAAAAGGAATTGAAATTACTCTAGACATAGTCCAAAACATGTGCGTTTATATCAGAAAACAATGATTCAGGAAAGCTGAAACTTGCTATGGAAGTATGCCAAGTATGCTGTATTTAATGTCATCTCCACCCCCAAATTCACAACTATGAGACACAGAGGAAAGCAAAGGAAGAATGATTTCAGTAGGATGCTCCTATACTGTGTGCAGGTTAAAGCTTGACTTTCTTTAGCTTTGACTTATCTCCATTTTATTTAATTTAAAAAATCAAAGAAAAATAGAAATTGTGGAGACTTCATTCTTTCATAAGAGAGAATTCTGTTTCTGGCCATGTAAAGCACATTAGCTGTCAGTACAGGTGAGTTGTTGTAGTTCAGTCCTGAAGTCCTTAAGGCCATCATCTCTTACCTAGGAAGACAGCCATATTCAGAAAAAATCTTCAGCGGATTTTGAAATGCAGGCACAAATTCAATGAGGAAATTAAACAAGCATGTTAAAGAACAAAGTAAAATTAAGTAAAATACATACAAATGCACATAGCTCTTTTAAGCAGTAATACACTTGTGAATACCAAATCAAGATCTGTTCTTTAAGGTCTAGTGGGCATAGATGTGTCTTCATGTGGGAACTGTTTAAGAGAAATGTCCAGTAGGTGTCAGTTAGAAGAATTATAAATTCTTTAGGACAATGTGATAAGTAAGTGACAGCGTTAAACAACAGGTAAGATATTCAAAAGGATAAAGAGTAATGGTCTTAAACTAAAAGAAAGTTTAGATTAGATATTTTTACTTAGACAGTGGTAAGATGCTGGTGCAGGCTGCCCATAGAACCTGTGGATCCACCATCCCTGGAGGTGTTCAAAGCCAGGTTGGTTGGGGCCTTGGGTGGCCTGGTCTGGTGGGTGGCAACTCTGCCGAGGCAGGGGGTTGGAACTGGGTGGGCTTTATGGTCACTTCCAACACAAGCCACTCAGGG